GGGTGGCGGGCGGGCCGCGACGTGAGGGCGGCGGGGCCGCTGTAGTGGGGCGGCGGGGCCGCTTAGCAGAGAGCGGCGGGGCCGCGTGAGCAGGGCGGCGGGGCCGCGTGAGCAGGGCGGCGGGGCCGCGAAGCAGAGGGCGGGCGGGCCGCGACGTGAGGGCGGCGGGGCCGCGTAGCAGAGGGCGGCGGGGCCGCGTGAGCAGGGCAGCGGGGCCGCGAAGCAGAGGGCGGCTGGGCCGCGCGAGCAGGGCGGCGGGGCCGCGAAGGAAGGGCGGCGGGGCCGCGTTAGTAGGGTGGCGGGGCCGCGAAGGGAGGGCGGCGGGGCCGCAAGGGGCGACACGGAGGGTCGCTAAAAAAAAAGGAAAACACGCCTCGGGGCGCGCTTCGGTGGGCCCTAGAAGCAGTCCCTAGGAGGGGACCTGCTCTGATTCCATGTGAAAATGAAGAACGAGAATGGGTGAACTATGAAATGAAGTGAGTACAAATAGGAAACCCTAATTGGGTTGTACCCCTTATGGGATACCCCACTATAGCCTACACAACAGCATAAGCTATATAATGTTCTGACACCTACTTGGTAGGTGATGCACATGTGCGCACATGTTCACCTGCTACTGCAGTGCTGGCAGACTGTCTTGCTGCAACGTTGGCATGCCTCCTTCCGGCTGAGTTGGCACGGGAAAGCTGCCTTCGTGCTGCGCTGGACAGTCACCTTGCTATGTTGCTTGTTGTGTTGCATGCCTTTCTTGCTATATCGACTTTGCCATACTATTATACTATTACTGTTCCAACTTTCCTTAATGAAGCTCTTGCCAATTTCACCTACAAGCACAACAATTAGTGAGAGCGTATGCAACGTTACAATCACCCCGTACAACCCGTAGCCTCCAACATAGTCTACCCGTTGCAAAGTGACTCTCTTCCCTCGATAAGAAAATAGCCTACCAGTGCTAGATTTCGCGTATAACAATGCCCTGCCCGACACAACTAATCATTTCTCATTCTACCTTGAATAGAAGATGGACCGAGTGGTACTTACAGCGACGACTCCCGAGAACCCGGTACCAAGGTGGCAACAATTTGTGACATAACTTCAGGTACTCAAACCTTCTGCGACGCAAAATCACCATGGTCGTTGGGAAACTAGTTATACTCGACTCGAAGAACCTTCGACTGCATATGTCGCCGAATCTCCACCAGTGTCAGAGAAGTTGTTGCTGACCGACGACTGTCGTGTGCACGATGCCTTCCACGTCAGCCTACTTCGGCCTTCATTCTCGCTACTTCGAATATTGTCCGACATGAAGATTTTGGAGCACCGAGTTCGTCTTGACTCGGATGGATGCCACGTTTGATTCTTTAATCCGCTTGACTCACCACACCTGCAATGTTAACACATGGGTATCTTCAGCCTCGCTTGAAGCACCCTTGTTGCTTGACGATCATCTCGCTCGGAAGCGTGTCCAACACCGACCAAGTTCCTGTGCGAAAGCCTGAAGGGACAGCGGGGTAGTGCTGCGAGCGATAGCTGGTCCAGACGTGGTGAAGTGGGGTGACCGTGGTGCAGTCACGAAAGAAGCACTGGGACGCGCCGAAGTCGAGCGGAAAGGAGAGCGACACGGTAGCAGAAGTCACACCTGGGCTAGCAACAACACAAGCACTACACAAGAAATAGGCAAGTCTAGGTACACGCAAGCAAAATGATCCAGCAGCACTATAGTCGACAACATACATGGAATAATAGACATCATCCATAGCATACCTGGTAACCACGGCTCAACAAAGCGGGCCGATGCGGAGGGACCCAATGAGGCCTGAAATGGTTGCAAAAGAGATAGTCGAGGTGACTGAAGCAGCGTATAGCGGAGTGGTCGATGCGCCTGTAGGTAGTGCCCGCACCCGGACTAATCATGATTTGGTACTGGCAGGGGGCGACGTCACGGCCACCGCGATGTGCCCCCCAACTGCCAAAGCCACTGCTACGGCACACGCTCGCCGGACCACCAGGTCCCCACTGCTGCTGAGGTCGGCACTACTGGAACTGTTGTCGCTGCTGCTGCACCTGCTGCGGCTACTGCTACGTCTGCTGCTGCTGCTGTTTCGGTGCTCTTGCCTCACCCACAGAACTAGCACCTCCTCCGGCCGGACCCGCAATCCCGACACCGCCCCCAGAGTCACCTCCTCCTGACGCACTAGTACCTCCACCACCACCTCCACCTTCTTTCTCCCCCTTCTTACCTCCCTTGCCACGTTTCTGCGAACCAGCGGCAGAAATGGCTGCAGTTTTTTCAGTAGCATACGACTCAGCAGTAGCAAGAGAACTAGTGAAGGTGGGGAGCTGGGGCAGAGCGCACTTCTCAAATAGACAAAGAACTACTGCACCAGTAGCTGAGGAAACGGAGCGGAGGTTACTCTCGATCTCATAGAGAGTGGTCTCAATGAGTTCGATAGTAAGCTCAGTCAGGTGCTTCAGAAGAAGCGCGTCGCGTGCGGACGAGAGGCGGCCAATGAGACGTGTGATGATGAAATAGAGTGTTGTAAATAAAGGCAGGGGGTGGTTAGCAAGTTGGGTAGCGGATTAGGTAGCACAGTAGCTAGTGTCAAGTGAGCGCAGGTGAGTGACTAGGTCAGCTGTAGTGTAAAATGCAGCAAGTTATGAGCGAGCTACATGCGCGCTGGGGCTGTGCGCTGCGCGCAAGCTGGCAACAGTCGCGTACGCTGCTGGTGGTGGCGCACGCTACTGGCGCGCGCACCGGCGATGTGCGCCGCTGGCGGTACACACTGGCGAACTGCGCTGGCAGGCAAGGCGCGCGCTGGCAACGCGTGTTGTCGGTGGGCTTCGCATTAGCAGTGTGTGCCGCTGGTGGGGCGCGCTGCTGACAGGGCGTGCGCCGTTGTTGTGGTGTGCGCAGCTGTAGCGTGCACTGATGTGGTGCACGCTGGTGTGGCGTGCGTTGCTGTGGCGCGCGCTAAGGCTGGCTGGCGGGCCTGAATCTAATTTTTGAGTTGAGGGCTTTCCCGGACGCTTAAAGGGTCGGAAAAGGCCACTTCCTGGAAAAATCAGGGCTGAAATCCGGGGGCCTCAGACTCTCAAGTGTTGGCCTGGAACCAATCGACAGCCCTGGTGAGAGCTGGTTCCGTGGGTTGGTTCGAATTTGGACTGTGTCGACCCTCGATCTTGCCAACGTTCACCACACCACGCCAGCAGCAGCCAACATCACCTTCTTCTCAAAAGATACACGACGGGGGACAAGAGTAGGGTTTTCCTTAGGGTGTGATGTAAGGATTCCCTTTTCTGTTAAACCCTACCCAAACGCCGAGAACTGTGAACAAGCCGCTCTGACATGCACACCATCTCATTCCACTGTAATAAAGTGAACTCGTAGATACGCCCTCATGCTCACCCAGCTGTAGTGAATAGACAAACATCTAATTCACCCCTGCACCAGATGTAGAGATGTAAGTATGTGGACCGTATTAGTCGTTACGGCATCCCTCCCGGCTTATCCAGGTGCCTTCCATACCGAGCCACTAGCCACGCCGTCTTTCCCGCACTTCGATTGAATGTACATTTCTCTGCTTGTGCTCTTACAGTCACCCCACTTGCTGCATCTTTCGGTCGTGTAGTACAGTACTTGGGCCAGACCCACGAGGTCGGCACCAGTGCTAAATACAGATCGTTTACTGTCATCCCATGTTGCGTACAGATCGTACAGTCTTTCTATCTGTCTGTCTATCTACGATGTTTGTCTGTCTACGGTGTCTGTCTACGGTGTCAGTGGCGGTGATTGTCCCGCACGGCGTCAAGCATTTCGAAAGTAACTGCGAGGTACAGATGTTATTGACATGCTGGAATTCGTGGATGCACGCTGGCGTACTGGCGGTTACTGCAGCCGCAGTAAGGGAGAATTTTCAAAAGGGAGGGCATGATATGCTAGCTGGACGGAGTCGTCGGATGGGCCTTCCGTTGAGACGGGGAAGGGGGGTGCTGCGGTGATTGGAAGGGGAACGAAAAACTCTGGGACTGGGTTGGGATGGGAGGACTCGGGTCGCGTGCGTGTGCAACGGTGACACGACCACGAGGCAAGTATGCGGGGGGGGCAACGATGCACACATGGTGGGCCTATGCCTGGTCGTTTCTTTTCTTGAAGCTATAAATACTGTACTTCTTTCTAGGACGGCGGTGGTTGCTTGAACGGATATTTCCGTTCAAGTTGCATGTACTTGTACATGCACTATACGACTTGGACGGCCGCTCGTGTCGTCGTTGTCGCCGCGCCACACCACAACACCACACGCGCCCAGCGAAGCAGGCAAGGCGACTAGCCGATGGCGCCAGCAAATCCCTTTCAACGGGTAGGTTCGTCCGTACCACACATGACGTGCTATATGCGAGGAATCGACGGTACGAGTTGCAGCGAGGTTCACTTCTAGCAAACGATGATTCGATCATGACTCATGACTCATGACCTCGTGACCTTCTCCGCTCATGACCTCCTCCGCTCGTGGCCTCCTCCGCTTGTGGCCTCCTCCGCTCGTAGCCTCCGAGCGAGTCGCTCGTTTCCCAACGAAAAATACCGTCCACGTCGCTCCAGTCATCCCACTGCGACTGTTCATTCAGGAGACATCTCGAGGAGATTTTCTCTGCTGCTCTTCATTCCTAATGTGACTCGTAGTACTCCGAGTGTATATAGGACTCACTGTCCCTCCCTCCTGTTTTACCCGTTCCTGTGGAGGGACCCTTCAGGCATCAGTGAGGAGGCTAGTAACACTCCGAGTGTACCTACCAACTCGAGTCGTACTCCGAGGGTAAAAGTCTCACCGTCCCTCCAGTTTTACCCGTTCATTTGGAGGGACCCTTCAGGCACCACTAAGGCCGCTACTAATACTCCAAGTAGCACTTGTGGTACCAACTCTCCTCACTACTACTACCTACTTCATACCCTTCCTCGCGCCTTGGGAATCTCAAGCCTCGTAAGCGAATCCTCGCACCGCGCGATGCCTTTTCTCCAGTGGACACGCCCTCGTCGCCATGGTGCTGCTAGGAGCCACGTGGACCACTCGTCCACAACGCTAGACGACACTGACACTGTACCGAGTGTGATTATATCAGTGCCGGTCCGCACCCCCTCCGGGCTGCACCCAGCGCAGCTCGCATCGTTCCCCGTCAGGCCATATCACATTGAACGCGTTCCTCCCGCTGCCCACCGCTGCCTTCCACCTACCGACCACTCCCATGGCGGCACTACTAGGAAGAGGAAACCTGGGGGTCTCGCGTTGGCGAGCAAGGAGTGCACGGTGTGCTTGAGTGACTATAACGAAGGGGAGCTGGTTCGCGCGTTGCCCTGCGCGCATCGGTTCCACGTCAGCTGCATCGACCACTGGCTTGCCGCCACGACCACCTGCCCTGTGTGCAGAACGGACCTCAGTGCTACAGCGTCAGATCATCGTGTGACTGTACACGGCATGATAAAGAAGAGGCAGATGGAGGAAGAAAATTGAAGGGTTGGCTTGTGGTCAGGACCCTTTTCCATGAGGCTGTACACGTCAAGGTGCGGTCACTACTTGAAGCCTGGGGACAACGCCAGCTTTGGGTGTGATGTGACAATATTGAAAGCTGAAGACAAGGCAGGCTGGTTCACTTCGAAGACAACAGGTTCGCTGTGGCTGTAAAGGCGTGAGAGTAACAAGGCGGAGGGGATCGAGGCAATCGGCTCTCCACGCACGCCCGCGCAAATGTTTTTTTATTTTATTGTTTTCTGCTCATTATTTTCCATTTTTTTCAGCTCCAAGAGACTCAGGCTGCGTTCTTAGCTGGTGTGTCAGGTTGCTGACACAAAGCTATGAGGGGTGACGATTTTAGCATGCCTACAGAGATGGAATGCTCTTATCCGTCAATAGCCTTGTGTCAGGGCATGACACTGCCAAGAATGCACCCTTAGTTTCTTCTTTGAGTCACTTGCATTTTGGTTCCTAGGAACATCAATAATAATATTGATTTGTTTTGTTCTGGTACCTTTTTCAGGGATGTTTTAAGCATAGAACACAGCGAGTCCCCTGGTTTTTTTTTTAGTTTCTTAAGAGCAACGACCTGTTTCAGTTATGTTGCCCTTAGAGTGTTTAGTTACAAGGGCCATTAGTGTAAGTTTGCCATGTCTTGTGATTGGCATTCATTGCTTGATAACTATTCTATCTCAAAGGCCGTGTTGCCGTGACGGAAGTTCCCACCTACAGTACTGGTAATCCCTTGGTCACTGTGTGAGAGCAATACACACGGTAGGTGCAGCGGATGAATTTCAAAGGCCATGTTGCCGGGAAGGAATACCCCACCTAGGTAATCTCTTGGTCACTGTGTGAGCAACACACATGGTAGGTGCAGCTATACATCATATGTGGTAAGCTCTTCAACTGTTCAGCATATACCTTACCTGTGAAATTGTGTTGATGCTTCACTAGTGCGTACAATGCAGGCATACTTCACTTCAGATTCCCTTTTTCTACAGCTGCACACCTCTTTCTGCTGCAGGCCAGCTAGAATCGTTCCAACTTGCACATGGGGTGCTCCATCCGCCTTCCCATTTACACTCTCACCTCAATCACTTCAAACCATCACTGCGTTGTCCTGCCCTGCCTGACCAGGCCACGTCTTAGCTGCGGCAACTCTGTCACCAAAGCAGCAATCCAGGTACAGTAGCAGCAATACCCTGCAGACCACCAGTCAACGAGCAGCTGTCACACCTTCCGAACCACCACAACAGGTACGGAGTCGTACCCTTCAAACCAACGTCTACACTCCTTTGAACCACCACCACAGGGCATACAGCATGTTACACAAAGTATTTTGGGGCAATACTGCAAGTCGGAGGAGGCGCAGGAATGCGCAAATAAAGCATGTGGCATGCAACATGGTTCACACAGTAGTTGCTCACACTGCTGCCCATGAACGTTCTGCAAGTGGGAGGAGGGTGTTAGAATAAGCAAGCAGGAATGGTGGACTAGATAGCATGCATGAGTACAAGTACCTAAGCCTAAAGTGTTGTACCCCTTAGGGTAAGTACCACTACAGCCTAGAGATAACAAATGTAATTTGACACACCCCCATAGGCAAAGTGGGTGATAGCAAACACACCGGACGGTCACAAGACCAGTCAAGCAAGAGAACAAAGCAAAGCAAAGCTCAGGGTGGATCTCAAGATCACCACGCATTCTGAGCACAAGCAAACGGCCACAAGGCCAGTTCACATGCAGAGTTATAATAGCAAGGCAGTACACTGATCACAACCTAGCAAGAGTAAACAAGCAGGAATAAAGATATATATCAGTGCACAACAAGAGCAAGTCATGCAACCAGCAGGTGAGGCAGAGTGGGCACAAGCCCAAGAGCAGTGCAGAAACGCTGATGATCACTAGACCCAAGGGCCTTGGTGAAGACATCAGCAGTGTTGGCCCGAGAGGCCACGTAAGCAAGGCGCAGCTGACCACGCTGCTGCAGCTCACGCGCAAGGAAGTAGCGAAGAGCAATGTGCTTAGTTCTGTGCTCCAGTCTCTGCTCGCGACACAAGGCAAGCATTGCCTTGTTGTCGACGTACAGAACTGGAGGAGAACGAGGCCGCTCCCCCAAGTCGGTCAGCAGGTAGGTCAGCCAGCGTAGCTCCTGTGCAGCCATGGCCCCAGCGTAGATCTCGGCCTCACAGCTGGAACCAAGCACAGAACAAGAACGAGTGGACCTCCACGAGACAGAACCAGAGCCAAGACTGAAGGTGTAACTCTGTGACGAACGCTCAGTCGCTTGGTCGTCGGCCCAAGAAGTGTCAGGGTGTCCTGTGCGTACCACTGAACCCCGTCCTCCAAGCACGAGCCCCATGCCCGATGTACTGCACAAGTAACGCATTACCCTCTTCGCAGCATCAAAGTGCACCTTTCGGTGTCTACCAGGTGCCACGTAGCGAGCCAGGAGGCTGAGAGGGTACGCGAGGTCAGGTCGTGTGCACGTCATCAGGTACATGAGGCAACCCACAAGCTCTGGGTACGGACCACTCGGCTCTACCGACTCGTCCGAAGGTGGAGCTGAGAGCGAGTGGCCGGTAGACAAAGGAGTGGGCTGTGGCGAGGACCAAGTGAAGCGGAAGCGCTGAAGGACCTGGTGCACCATGTGTGACTGAGTCAGGGTGATGGTGTGCCGTGCTCTGTCCCGGGTGATCTGCAAGCCAAGATAGCTCCGCAGCTCACCCAGGTCAGTGCAGGTGTGTCTCTCTTGCAGCTCTGCCTACACTAGGGCCAGCGCCTCTGTGTTAGCAGTAGCAAAAGCCAAGTCGTCGACGTACACGAGGATGTAGAACGCCGGCAGCGTAGTGTCGGTGCGTAGAAACAGCGACGGGTCAGTAGTCGAAGGAGCAAACCCAAGAGCCGCAAGTGGCGTCCTCAGTGTGTCGTGCCACTCACGGGGCGCCTGACGCAGGCCGTATACTGGTCGCCGTAGGTTCCACTGGGTACCCTCAAGAAACGACCCAGTGAAGCCAACTGGACGGCGCAGCCAGATGGCCTCGTGAAGGCTACCCTGCAAGAAAGCTGTCGAAAAGTCGAGGGAGTGCAGCTCGTAGTCACGCTGAGCTGCAACGTGTAGCAACACCCGAAGAGTGGTCATCTTCGGGGTGGGGGAGAAGGTCTGAAAGAAGTCGACCCCCTCACGCTGACTGAAGCCTCGAGCGACGTAACGTGCCTTGAAGGCAGGCGGAGAATCCGGCGGCCGCTTCACCCTGAAAATCCACATGCCACTGACAATGTTCGCCCAAGGTGGGGGAACCTCGTCAACGTAGGTACCTGTGGACTTCCAGGAAGCCATCTCTGCGTCCATGGCTGTCTGCCACAGAGAGGAGTAGGCACCCGAGATCGCCTCTCTGTAAGAGCGCGGGGTGGGGATGTCAAGTGCATCCAGGTCTCCCTCAGGGGCAAGCAGCATGGTAGCGAGATGAGGTGCAGCAGCCGCAAGGCACTCCAGCTCCTCGTGTCTATCCTCAAGAACGTCACAGCCAAGGGCAACCTCACCCCCGACGGACGGAGGACAGGCAGGGTCAGGGTCAGAAACGAGACTCGCAAGGTAGTCTAGGCGGTACGCAGCAGCAAAGTCAACTAGCTCAGCGACTAAGGCAGACGCTGCAGGAGACGAGAACGTAGGGTCCGTCACAACCGTAGCAAGAAAGCGAGTAACAGTCGGACTGCACGCACGAGCAAGGTCAGACGGAGGGTCAGCAACGTCAGGAAGAGAAGACGCAGGAGGTGACGGCAGGACAACACGCTGTGGAACAGAGGAAGGACGGAGTGTCATATCGTGAGTGCCTGGGACAACCGGGGGACGCTGACGACGAACACGAGGAACACGAGTATGGCTAGCGGCTCTAGGCTCGGGCTCAAGGTCAAAGCTAGACTCAGGCTCTCGACGCTCAGGGGTGGAAGCACGAGTCTCAGGCTCTCGACGCTCAGGGGTGGAAGCACGAGTCTCAGGCTCTCGACGCTCAGACAAGGAATGTGTCACCGCAGTGTAAGGAGCAGGAGCAGGCAGTGGGGAGTGCGGTAGCAGCGGCGGCTGAGACTGGTCTGCCGGTGGAAACAGTAACGGAGGAGTAGTACCTACCACAGGGAAGTCAGTAGCACCTGGCGGAAGACTGAGAAGGTGGCGAAGAGCACCAGCAGCTCCCGTACCTCCAGCACGAGCAGCTCCACCAGTACTCCCAGCAGCACCTCCAGCACCAGTAGCACCAGCACCTCTAGTACCTCCACCACCACCAGCACCAGTAGCTCCTGGTCCTCCAACACCAGTAGCACCTCCAGTACCTCCAGCACCAGCAGCAGGACCAGCACCTCCAGCACCAGCAGCTCCAGCAGCTCCACGTCCTCCAGCACCAGCAGCACCAGCAGCTCCACGTCCTCTAGCACCAGCAGCACCTTCAGTACCTCCAGTACCTCCAGCACCAGCAGCAGGACTAGCAGCTCCAGCACCTCCAGTACCAGCAGCACCAGCAACTCCACGTCCTCCAGCACCAGCAGCACCTCCAGTACCTCCAGCACCAGCAGCAGGACCAGCAGCTCCAGCACCTCTAGCACCAGCAGCTCCATCAGCTCCACGTCCTCTAGCACCAGCAGCACCTCCAGTACCGCCTGCACCAGCAGCAGGACCAGCAGCTCCAGCACCTTCAACACCTCCAGCACCAGCAGCACCAGTAGCTCTACGTCCTCCAGCACCATCAGCACCTCCAGTACCTCCATCACCAGCAGCTCCAGCACCTCCAGCACCAGCAGCACGTCCAAGAGTACCTCCAACACCAGCAGGACCGAGCCCTCCACCACCAGGACGGCCACGCCGAACGATCCACGCACGGATCCACTCCGGCGAGGGCGCCTCAGGTGGACTAGACTGTCCAGCTCCACGTCCTCCAGCAGGGTCACCCACAGCTCCACCGCCACTAGGACTCGCAACACCCCCAGAGTCAGCACCTCCAGTCGAA